GAGAAATACCTTGGTAAAAGTTTCCTCTTAACCTTGTGTATGAGAGATGTGGGAGAAGCTTAATTCACCTTAAGCTCATTTCCTACAAATGTTTACCCATAATTCACAGCATCATGCTTGGAGAAAACCAATTACAGCACAGACACTTCATCCCTGCTGTCGAGCACGGTGGTGGAAGAGTGATGGTCTGGGCTTGTTTGTCAGACTTTAGTCAGTCATGAGGTCCCCTACAGGACAAAGTATTCTAGAGTCAGATCTGTCTGACAGCTGAGGTTTGGACCATGTAAAGTTTGGACCAAGAAACAGAACGATGCCAAACAGAGCAGCAGATCCACAACAGACTGACTGAAAAAAGAAAAAGAAAGAACAAAGGCATTGAACCAGTCCAGTCAGAGTCCACACCTGAACTTGTTTGAAACRCTGTCATGTGACCTAAAAAGAGAAACTTTAATGAACAGAACACTGTGGAAAAGAATGGGACAAAACGTTTCCTCCACCATGTCAGAGTCTAATGAAGTCATTACTAACACACTTTTTCCTTTTTGACTTTGTTTTATTTAATAAAAAAGCTCACGGTGGAATCTGTTGTGTGTTTTTGAACACTCAAGACTAATTTTATAACTTAGTAAAGACCGGATCATTTTTATTATGTCCTGATATCAAACCATAGAATCAACAGAGGCTGGCTGTTCATTTGTTCCCACATCTTACACATACAAGTATGTTCTCAACTTCTGGAACCGTTAACGGGTCCATTGTGGCTGTTTTCAGCGTTTCTCAGACTTTCGTAACGTAAACGACAGATGTTCACTTGTAAAACATTTCCCTAACTGTTGTAAAAACGCCTGAAAGGTTGCAGTGGTGTTGTAAAAGTGTTGTAAAGCACATCATCAGCTGAGGTTTTGGTTCTATTTTTTTTATTATTCCTAAAGCTCCTACAAAATATCTGAAGCCAGATGAGATGGGTTCAACGTAGTCCTCACCCCTGACTCCAGGCGCCCCTCCAGTCTGTGGTGCCCCACGGGTTCCTCATCCGCAGCAGGAGGAGGCGGGATGTCCCGCCGGTCCTCAGCAGCCTCTCCGCCTGCCTCACCTTCCTCACTGCTGTGATCCCATAGGCGTGTCCCCGCACGAGCCCACAATCCAACACCGACTCCACGGTCTCCCCCTCAGCCGGCTGAGGACAGGAAAATATTTTGTTTGAAACAATAAAGTATTTCAGAGCTTCAGGATGAAAACTAAAGCCTCACCCGTATGGAGCAGGTGATGAGGGATTTGTGCTCGTGGACTTTAGACAGTGTGTGGAAAAGGGTCTTCCTCCGGTCGCTGTGCAGGCTGAGGGCCTCACAGTCCAGACTGAGCGGCTCTGAAACCCCTCCGGTGAAGTCGATGAGGGCCTCTGTCGTGTTCCCACCCTCCAGAGCCTCATAGCAGCCATTCAGTCTGAGGAGGACGAGTCGAACAATCTGAACATTTTTCTCTCTTGAAGGGATTCCCGATTACTTATAACATAAGATATTATTTAATAAACACTTACTTCAACTATAAAACAAACTGTAAAAACACTGTTAGCTGTTTAGTAAAAAATACATTGTCACATGAAAGGCACCATATTATCATGCGGAATATCTCAAATCTACTTACAGTAATACTGCAATCATAAATTTTTTATTGAATGTTCAGTGATGTAGCAATTTTAATTATGTTTGGAGAGTGNACTGTTGGATGTTGTTTTGTTTTTACTGTCTGGAGGGACTACAGATGTAAATTAGCCTTAGGCTAAATCTGGTGCAATGCATCAAATGTTTTTATGTTTATGTTTTAATTGCACACTATCCCGACTAAATAAACAAATACAAATTCATTCATTCAATTAATGCCCAAGGGCGTAACTTTGGGTCTACCGCTCATACATGTATACATATGGACTGCTGGATATGGGCACCAGTGACCCCCGTGACTCTGAAAGGAAGAAGTGGRTATAGAAGATGGATGGATGGACGGATGGATGGATATGATGATATAGCATTAGCAACAAACCATACACACTMTAAGAAATGAAACATGGGGTTAGTTGGTACCATTGATAAACTGTATGTAAAACTGGATTGGACGTGGTTAGCGCGTTGCTAGCTACAATGAAGTGCACACACTGGAGCTCTGTTATGCATTGAGGAGCCTCAACAAAATGAATGGATGTCAATGGACTGTGAGGAGTCTTCCTGATGAAAAACTCTCATAACTTCCTTATTTCTTGCTTGATTTTTACAGACTATGGTTCAAAATAAAGCCGAGGAAAYTATGAACCTTACAGTTTTGGAAATTTAAAATCGATAACTAATTTAAATGACTAAAACAGTGACTTAAACTAAGTATTTTGCATTTCACAGGTGTTTTTTCATACAAATCAATGAGTTCTGACCAGCTGGATTTTCATACATATATTTATTAATCAGAACTGAGTCTTAGACATTTAAAATAATAAAATTAATCTTTCAATTTAAAATAGATAACTAATTTAATTGACTAAAACAGTGGCTT